TTTAACCTAAACTTACAAACAAAAGACAGAATGAGAAAGTAAAAAAACAGGCAAAAACCTATCTATTCACAATTTCTGTTGGGTAAAAGCTATAGGCTGCATTTGAACTAGGTCTAGAACGTAGCATTGTTCAGCGTGAGTGCGCACAGCCGAATGGAAAGGGCGCGATAATAACTGTCAACTCCTCCAGCTCCTCCCTTTATGTTCTGAGACCCTAGAATAAAGATTACGTGACGTCACATACAATGTATTCGTTAGTGCAATTCGGCAAAGTTGTTTTTTATTGCAGGTTTCATTGAAGACCAGAGAGTATTTCTTATCGACAATTTTCTTATTGTATTTCTCTGTACGGCTATTTGGGCTTTTGATAGGACTTTAAAATTCGATTTAAGCTTTTTATAGGACATTTTATTATAATTTACAACGTTTTGGATACAATTACATTCATTTTCAAGTAAGAAAAGAGTTCTGAACGCATTTTCAAAGCATTTTTTAATGACGTTAGTGCAAACATATGGTATTAGTATAGGTTGGCAAAATTTGTTTCTTTAAGCAGGTTTCATAGAAGACCAGAGAATTCATTATAGTGGCAATTTTCTTATTAGGCAATTTGACATATGGTATTATGGATACAGATTGAAAATCAAAATTTGAATTAAGAGAACAGTTTAAACGTCCTAGCAAATCCGGTAGCTTGTAAATTTATAGCTGGAGATTCGTGCTTGATGATGAGAGCCTCAGCTCTCACCAGTATTGTGGTGTCTGGGTACCTCATGACGGCGATGCTGGTTTAATTCTCCAACGTCGCGCGAGTTAGGGTCTCACTCTGAGCCTCACTTATATTCAGCGTCACTTCGCACAGTCGAATGAAAAGGGCGCGATAATTGCTGCCCAGTCCTACAACTCCTCCCTTTATGCTCTGCGACTCTAGAATAAAGATTACGTGAAGTCATTACACGTAAAGATTACGTGTAATGACTTCGGTCCTCCGGCCTCGAGGTGGCATGTTGGGCGACGGCTCAAAGTCGTGCTGATCAAACCGATGTAATTTACATTCTGGATAAGTCTACGGCCTTATTTGTGGCATGACTATTGGTTAAAACCATTGTTTTTTTGTCGTGTTCTCGTCTTTTTACACGATTATTTTTAATTATTAAATTCTTGCGTTTCTAGTGTTTATAGTAAATCAGGAGTTTGATTCTGTCGATGACGGTTGTACTTCTGATGTTATTCAGCACAATTGATTTGAGGACTTTTTGTTCTGCCTTATAGACTCAATTCATCTGGTTTTGTTAATAAATTGTCGTAATATTTCCGTTGGATATTGGTTCAATGTTCGTTTGGTTTTGACGTGCTCGATAGTTTGAAATTTCGGTGTCGATAGACGATAGTTTTATTCGCATAACCGTTGTTTACCAGAATTTGCTTGCAGATCACTGGAGTTCAATTCTTTGAGTCGCCAGCGGATGTACAGGTTTTTAATTTTTATGTATCAGAAGGCGAATATATAGTGGCGGTTTTGCATATCGCTGTGGACATTCGCTTGCTTCGTCTAGTACTTCTCAGACATCTGTAGATTTTCGGTAATTTTTTTTCACGACCACATTTTCCTTAACTTGTACGAGTACATCGAGGAAGGACAAAGACTAATTTGGTCCAAATTCGCAGCTGAACTTCAAGACTGAATTGCAGAATTGAGTTCTACGGCCACTCGTAGCTCAGTCATGTGATCTTCGTCCCGATCAACGACATAAATGTCGTCGACGTATATCTACAGTAGAGCTCAAACTTGCTTTTTACGTCCAACAATACTCGGTTTTCCGGTTCGCTCATGTAGAATTCAGCAATAGTAGACTCAGAAGGCTACACCGTTGATTTGATGGTAAATTTTGTTGTCAGGGGTCCGGAATGGCTATTCTAAGGTACAGATGCTGCGGATATCAAGTAGGAGATTTTTAGGGATTGATGGAGCCGGTAATTTTTCATTTGAATAAACGTGGTTGGCAATTATTTCCAACATTTCTTTTGTAGGAATGATGGTAGAGAAGCCAGTGACGTCAAGTGAAGCTAGCAAACTAGATGGGCCCCCCGACCGCGAAGAATTTCAAACAAATCGAAATCGCCTCTAAATGATCTAAGTGAAAATTTCTCAGGTTGTATGGTTTGATTAGAGCATCCAACTCTTGGGCTGTCCTGTAGATTGGAGATGTAACCTGATAGGCTGATAAGTTATCTGAGCAGACTGTTCGCTTTATGATTTGTAACGTTGCCGTAGAACCGAATCGACACTTCTCCGGACCCGCCTGCGAATTCGCCTGCGGACTCAATCGTAAAATTTACACGCTCAACTTAACCACTCATAAGCCCTTCAATACTGAACGGATTTGCTTTAATTTTGGGATATAAGTAGTTATAATCAATACGCTGAGGTTGGAATTATTACAGATTTTGCATCAATTAGTTTCCAATTAAAAGGAATAAACGCATTCTTAAGCAACCTAGCCACTCTTAACTCCTACAATATACTGAAAGAATTTTATCTAATTTTTGAATATGAGTAGGTAGTTATTATCAATACACTGCGGTAGGAATTATTACAAATTGTTACATTAACAAGTTTCTTATTATATCGAATAAACGAATTTTTTAAGCAACCTAACCACTCATAACTCCTTCAATACCGAACGAATTTGATTGAATTATTTAATGTAAATAGTTATTATTAATACGCTGCGGTAGAAATTATTACATATTTTTAACATCATTAAGTTTTTCATTAAAAGGAATAAACAGATTTTTTCAGCTTCCTAACCACTTATAACTTCTTTAATACTGAACGGATTTTCTTGAATTTCTGAATATAAGTGGTTATCATCAATACACTGCAGTAGAAAATTTTTACATATTTTTACATTAATAAGTTTTTAATTGAAATGAATAAGCCCATTCTTTAGGCAACCTAACCACTCATAACTCCATCAATACTGAACGGATTTGCTTGAATTTTGAAATGTGAGTAGATATCATCAATACGCTGCGGTAGTAGGCATTAAAAGTTTTTACATAGATACGTTTCTAATTAAAACGAATAAACGTATTTTTACGCAACTTTCCTGGTCATAACTCCTTCCATACTTAACAAATATGCTTGCAATTTGGAATATAAGTATTTACTGTAAATGCGCACTTCAGCAATTGTCAAAATTAAATAAATTACCAATATTTCCAATTAAGGTGAGAAAACTTAAACATGGGCCCGATAATTTCGGAGAAGCGCATGGCGTTCACACATTGACTGTGTTATAGACTGTTAGTTATGTGTGCTTGCTCGGTCCCGAGTTGCGATAGTTCCTCAAAATTTTTTTTATGTTTAAATATGCCTTGCATGACCGATACTTCCGAATTGCCCGGAGGCCGTGATCGATATATTTATTATGTTTAAATTAGAAAAGTATAACCTTGGAGTTTTGGTTAGGTGCAGCCTCGATGCCATGTTCAAACGTGACGTGGACGCACTCGTAATCTTTATCAATAGTTTTGTGAAAAGATAACACTATCTGTATCAGATTACAGTGCTCGGTGACTTACTCTTCCTTTTCCAGAAATTCCGAGAAGAGCACGGTCGCATTTTATATCAGGTTTGAACGTAGTCTCCTAAGCTGAAAGTAAGAGCTTATCTGCAATTAGTTCTGTTTCCTGAACGTGTCGGAAATATTCCATGCGAAAATTTCATAAAACTCGGTGATGAATGAACGAGTTTTTGTAAATGAAGCACTACGTTACTTGAACGGCGTGGCTTTTGACAGGGTAAAGGGCAAGATTAAACTGACGCACAAGTCCTTATAGCAGAGCAAGTGGACAATAATTATAACAGCGGGATTAAGCGCTTGCTTTGCAATTGTTTCAAGTTGCAAGTTGCCATTTACCAGCTGATTTAAGCCATACCGTATAGTACCAGTTTTTTCAATTGGAAATGGCATTCAACTTCAGTCTGACTATTAAGAAGTCATACAAAGTGGATTCTCGATCAAGTTTAAATATATTCATAACAAACGAATAAAAATAATTATGAAATATATTCATTATGAATATATGCATATACATTTCTATTTAATTGTAGGAAGGTTTGTAGATTTTATCGCTTTTACACATCTTGGCGGGATAGATTTGCTGCAGTGCAGAAAGAATATCGAAATATTTCGGATTGACAGCTCCAAGCTTTGAAAAGTTTAACGGTGCAAAACGCTACCTGCGCTCGTAGCGGCCAACTGGACAATGTCTAATCTAAGGAGAATAAGATAGCACCGAAAAAATGTCGGAACCTTTCTTCTTCTCTGCAAACAGTAAAGCTAACGCCGTTTGATTACTTATATACTCGAAAATACTTAAGGATCCACGTGGAGCACATCAAGATACTCATTTTGTCATCTGGCACTGTGGGCCATCTGTTAAGGATTCATAATCATTTCAACGCGCCCCTGAACTGAGTAGTTCTAATTTGGAACACAATAGCATTTAAAGCGCAACTGTCATGTCAGTTTCATCGCTAGTCAAACTGTCGATCAGAAAGTGTACAAGATGAATGGGATCATATATCGTTTGAAAATCTATTTCAATTACGGTCACTAACGCAACCGGTGCGAATAAGTGCCGAAATTAGAAGTATGAATCGTTGAAACGCAACCATAATTCCAGTAAATGGTTTTCCCGGTTCTTCAAGCTCTTGAATGCAAAAAAATTAATAATCCATTAGCTTTCCAGATTTCATGAATAATCATTGATCAGAACTAGCTGCAAAATCGTTACCGATACATTCTTTCCCGAGAAAATTACGCATTTCCATACCCATGGTAGTTTACCATCGAATCAACTGCACAATAGTGGCAGCGATTCAAAGTCTAGATCTACTTTAATTTCTAATGATTGATTATTATCTTCAGGAGCCTCTAAACTTTAGGTGCACAGAAAATACATTGAAGTGAGGATAAAGACTAACGCTGTTTCCTCTATAATATACTTGGACTGGTAAGGTAACAAAGGAACAGACCGACAGATGAAATCTGAATCGCATCTACAGGAATAAATCCTATGAAACTCAAGTCGAATAATATACATGAAGTCCGAAAGTCCAGGCAAGTCGAGAAATTTATCCGTGTAACAATACGATTAAATTTGAAAAAGATTTACTCCCTACATAAATTTATGTCGAGGATTAGAAGCTTGTTAGACAATCACAAAGTTCATTGCAGAGCACAAATAAAATGTGTACGAATACGAAGCTGTGAGCACTATAAACTACAGATAGAAAGAAGAAATAGAAGGAGAGGAGTGGAGTCTCATGAGAGCAACATAAACGCTGTAGCTGAGCGTTAGGACGACAAAACCGTCCCTATGGATCCGAAGAGAAAAACTGTCGCCAACTCTACTGTTGCGACGAACCATAAAGCGAGGGGCTTGCGATAACAACGACGACTAACAACGTCTGAAACATCTTGCAGGCTGTGAAAACTTTGTCTTCAATGTAGAAAGTACCATCAAAATCAAGCTTTAAGTGATATGCTAGACTGTATTGACGCGAACACCGTCACTATTTAGCTACGGTCCACAAGTTAAATTTAGCAAGACAACCCAACAATGAATTTAGACTTGGCGTCATTTCAGAAATTTAAAATAAACTATATGAAAGAGCAAGTACGAGTAACTATTTTAGCAAGTATTGAGTACAATATCTTTTCGCACTATTCATCTGTTGAACCAATACTACAAACTGGAAATGGAAATCCGGATATCAAGTGGCAAAGTGCTACAAGTCGTAGTTCAGATCGTTGAGTGTCGTTTGTTACAGCCTAGCCGAGAGCATCAAAGCCTTCATCTTCCTCGTCATTATCTTCGTCATCCTCGTCTAAGGAGTAGAGAAGGGAAAGGTATTCGCCCTTAGGAGCCAACGGATGACCGGGAGGCACCACAGCAAATCCCAGGAACATGAACGTCCGAACTAAGCAGGCTGCAAGAAAAAATAGTAGAATATTAGACGCAAGAATAGACAGTATAAACTCACTAAGATAGTGACATTTGTAAAATGATTCAAGATTAAAAGAAAAGAAATTTCAATTCTATTATTTGAAAGATTTTTGGTGTGTCAATAACCGCAGTTCAGTCAACAGTCCTGGAACTTTCCTGATCCATTATATTAGCCCTCCTGAGAGAAACACTATCAAGATGTCTATCTAAATTTTAGGCCTAAATTAACCATTCAAATTTAATCTTTAGGGTTAATTCCTGCACCTGGCAACACTTTCAAGTCCTATCCTTTATATCTGAATAATGTGCAGATTTTATTTTATTCTTTGTATCTGAATAATGTTCAGACTTATTTTCCCCCAAGAAAGAGTGAGCGACCCGTGCAAAATTTACCAGTTCTCAATCTCTTATGAACAAACGCGGTTTTATTACGATACACTGGTACGATAAATTTAGAGAACTCTAAAGGAAACTAACCTCTATTGCGAGCCTGCTTGTTCAAGCAGACGATTATGTTGCGGCATTGCAGATGCACTTCGGTGAACTCGAGTAGGGCGACAAAAGCCTCTTTGCTGCCATCAGGGAGCGAGTCGCCGGGCTGGAGGTAGAGGCAGCGCTTGAACAGCACTGCTTCCCACACTACCGCCGTCTGCTCGCATAGCTGGAAGCTGAAGCGCAGGCGCGCTCCTTTCCCGCGACCAGCTACAGCCAACAGCTCGCTTTCCTGCATCAAAAAAGAACTTTCAAAAAATTTTATTTTCCATGGTTAAATCACAACTACTAATTGACAGGTTGACTACTAACAATGAAACTTTGCTCAAAAGCAATTTAGAGTCCAACGAAAATCTGCATATAATCAAACTTGATTTAATACTTCAAAAATTATGATCAGAATATACTTCAGAATAATAAGCTGTCAGAGCAGCTACAGAAACCCTTGAGGTAATGGTGCATCCCACTGAAGTGCACAAGAATCTTTAATGCTTTCGCAAGAGGGTACTCACAGACACTGCAAATCCATTCGAGTTGCCATCCTTTTGCTCCGCTACAGGGGGCTCTACCAGGGACCCCACACCGCTGCCCTCTGTGTTGTAAGACACGTTGGCGGTATGGGGGGCATCAAAACCACCACTGACGTCCCCCACCCAGCTCGATAGAGAAGAGGGGCACCTTACTGCTCATTGGCTCAAACATGGAGGGATCATCATCCGGAGATCCGAAGCCTTCATCAGTGGATCCTTGCATTGTGTGGCCTGAACTGCAACACAAATTAAAAGGTTAAGGAAAAGGGATCCAGGTTAAAAGTGCTAAGGGATGATATATAAATTGAATAAGAAATTATAATTAAGTTATAAATTTCCGATACAATAGCACAGCCTATGTCAAATACATTATCCTCATGGTATGAATTTTCAAATTGAGGATTAGTCAGACAAGTGATGTTGGATCAATATTACATTATCAGGAATAAAGAAAATTTAATGATTGGACACTATATTAATAGTTTAATACACATACAAAAGAAATCAACACATTTAGTCTCCGTTAAGGGGAGTGTCTGGGGGTAAAAAATATCTCATATCACTAGACGGATCGATTCGAAATTTGGTACACATATGTAAAATGTAATTGTTTTTTTCTTGTTCATCGGAATTTTTCAAAAAATTGAAAGAAAACGTGAAATTCTTATTAAACGGTAAAAAGGGGATATTGTGAAAGTTAATCAGTCCTATGATTTTCAAGCTACAACATAGAGACACATCACACATATCATTTGATGAATAAAGACCATATCTAAAAACATAACTTTGTTTTTTTTTTAATTTCTCATTTATGTGGGTGTGGGAGCATTTTTTCCAAAATCTTTTGATTTTACCTCTGCCCTCCCCCCTTTTTGCAAAATAAAATCTGAACTATAACAAGCTTGAAAAAAGCCCTAGTTACGTTTGTAGATCTTTTTATTTGCAAATTGAACGGTATATGTCTCATTGATGTAGCTTCAAACTCGAGGAGGAGATAGGTTTCCAGTGACAATAAGTCAATTAGCACGAATGTTCAGTAGAGCCTGACAAAGTCCCAGGCGCCTCAAAATCGGCATTCAAGACTGCAAGGAATGCGACTAGATGATACTGGAGCTCAATTTCTGTCAAGGATGGTGAGAGCGACAGTGCGGGAACCACCCCGTACGACTGCTGCAAGGTTACTGGAGCCGAGTGTCTGTAGACTAGCTAAATATATTGCAATATGGGAATTATTCCCTATGTTAAATGTGAAAGAACTTCCTCACCTCCTTCCCTTGCGGAATCTGTAGTGAATGCATAAATCAACATACAGAGATGGTTTTGGTACCATTGGATAGGTCAGAGTGTCTGCTTTAAGATAAGACTAAAAAACGGAAAAGCCGAAATTGTCGATTTTGGACCCAGATGCTCCCATTAATAAAACATGCTAAGTAAAAAAAAAGCTTTACTGAAGAACTTTCACTTATGTTACTCATGTTTTAAATTCTTGAAATTATCAGGTCAGTTTTTACTTTCCAGTCTCCACTCTAGCAGTTCATTTGGCAATGGAAAAATAGCATCTTGCAACAAAACAAATTCAACTCACTGCATCATGTGCAATAGGCTACCAGCATTAAAATGCATTGATATAGAAATAGAATAGATTTTTCAAATGAGAAAATTGAAAATAAACTGGTTTGCAGAAATTTCATTTTTACCATTAAGAAAAAAAATATAATTTAGCCTCAGAAATTACCTGAAAGGCTGAACTAGTAACCACCGTACAGAGAGTAACTTCAGTACAGTCCAGACTGGAATAATGGGCAGGAGTCACCCGTACAAGAGCAAAAACCACCCGTCAACGAGGGTCAATTTTACCCGTGGCCATGTATAATTTCACCCGTAGCCAATGGCCATGGTTTTCTTCACCCGTGGCCATGGATAAATTTAACCGCGCCCGTAGAGCTACAATTTCAACAGTAATGGCNAGCTGTTCACACGCTATTTCGTAAAATTGCCCGAGAACAGTAAATTCTTACCCGCGATTTTCGAGAAGCACCCGGGAGGACGAAAATTGCACCCGCGATTTTACAACTTCACCCTTGAAGAGCCTATTTTTACCCGCGGTATTCTAAAAAATCTGCCCATTATTCCTGTCTGGAGTACAGTGTAGGGTAAAGTGACCACTGCAATTCGCTCCACTTCATCAAATATCAACAAAAATAATCTTCAAATTTCAATAATGGTTGAAAATAAACTAGGAGCCTAGGAGGTGCAAAGTGAAAAAAAGTGCATACGGCACTCCTTAATAGCCATTAGCCCCCTTTCTAAATTATTATGCAGAATTTTCACAACATGGTGCCAGTGGGTACTTGCAAGAAGTACAGTTATGAGTTAATTTTTTTTAAATCATGGGTGAACATAGCAATGATATTGATAACATGGGTTTTTTTTCACTGAAGAAGTTCAAAATGAGAAAAGGCCAGCCCATAGCCATAGAAACAGTTAGGCATTAGTCAATAGGAAGTTTCAAGTTCTAAGCAATAAATTAAGAGTTTCTCATTTGCGTCAATGAAGTCAAGCAACAGTAGCACCGAACGTAGAATCGTAGGTCAACGACGGTATAGATAACGTCTGCACTACACAGCGAGAGAAAATTGGTACCTACTACAATACAATGTACAAAGTTTGCAGTACAGAGGTCTTACATAATCGCGTAAATACTACAACGTAGGTACAAGACAAATAGACAATCGTTCTTCATAGCGTTAATTCCAGAAATTAAGGAAGCAAGACCACATTCTGGCTTGATATTGGTTAGGGAACAACCGAACAAGAATAGAACTTCCCTAGTACTGGTATCTATGCACGCCATTGTTGAATGAATGGATTACTCACCTGTGATCAATTGACATCATGTCCTCCATATGATCGTTTTTATCAAATAGCTTTAAACTCGAGTAATTAGAAAATATTTTAATACTCATTACGAATACAACTCAAAAGAAATTAAAGGCAATCTTCTTCAGAAACAACCGATAATGAGATATAAGTTGAGACGAACAGGCGCAACTCCACTCGTAGAAATGTGCGATATCACACTGACACACGAACAGCTGAGCATGCGCACATCCAGGTTCCTATGCTGCCAGATTACGCTATTTTAGGTGCTAAATGTGTTCTTCAGAAATAAAAAAAAAAATAATAATTACGTTCACAACCAGGAAACATGGTTGATATTACCGAATTATGCCAATTCATTGGATCACCAAAGAGCAGATCCATAAATTATTCATATGATTCAAAAGGAAAAACCGGCATATATCATTAACGATATTTAGAAGAGCTGAACGTGCATGATTATTAGATAATTTCGTTCATCTAATTTCTTGCTAAACTAAATGATGTCAGATTAAAAAGCTGCTGAGATGAGTTGATTGTATGAAATATCTCCTCATAAAGATAGATGAAGTACTTCATAAGTGCTCTCTATGACTCCTATCGTATCGCATCGTGCGTAGCTCAAGCAAATTTATCTCACGAACGATTTAAAACTCAAGTGGATAAATTGTAGATATTTGCATGTCATGTCAATATGATGCTTAATAAATTCATGAGTGCATTCAAGATTAACAACGTTTTATGACTTTGACAGTATTCGATAGATACATAATTAATATTACATCTGGAAGGCTCGTAGAGATTTTTTGCTATTTAATAAGAAAAATTACAGTAACTACAATTAACAAATTTATTTGTTCGAAAAGTAAAGTTTAAGGCAACCCCTGCATCGGTTTGCTGTATTTCAGGTATGAATGCAAAGCCACCCGGGCCCATACTTTCAAAACTGGCTAAGTGAACGTAAGTACTTACGATCTATTTTCTTGTCTATGATTGGTGGATTTTGCTTGAAAGGCCGTCAATGATTGGCTGATGAACTTACGATCTCTTAACTTCTTTTGAAAGTATAGGCCCAGGTCAAGAAAAAAAATCTCGACTGCCTTTAATGTGCCTACATGACTGCAATGCAATCAACTGGTAAATATTACAAGTTTTACGGACTGTTTTGAAAAATGTGGAAATTTCCCAGCTTTTGGTTCTGCCAATATAGCAAAGGCCAGTCGAATCTCATTTTTTTAGAAAATCAATAAATAAAGAATTTTTATCAAGGAATGGAAAATCTTCTAGTTTGTCAACCAAGCACGAAACATTCATGCGTAATATTGTCAAAGCCCGATCAAAAGTGGTATCAATGAAATATTTTGCGCTTCCTGCGCATATTGGAAATTACTCGTAAATCAGAAGCCAAATGTCCGAATTGCTCCAAGTAAGCAGCCAATCTCATTGTTAACCGTTATTAAAAAAATTACGAAGAAAGTATGCCGCTGATACAGCAGATGAAGGGTGAAATACAAAACATTTTTCAACAAGAAGTGTAATAATTTTTTATGCATCATTTCGACACTTTTTTGGACATGCGTCTCTTCTTCCTCTTCTCTCTTTTCTTTTCAAGCTTCCTTTTATTTTTCTCAAGAATCCTTTCTTCACGGCGAGCCTTCATCTCTTTCAAAGACTCCTCGGGTTTAAGTAACTTTTTGGTTAGCTTGGCCATGTCTTTTCTGTGTTTCTTGAGGAGCATCGAAGACTTGCTGTTAGGAGCAGCACTGGTGTGATCACCGTAATGATCGTAATCATAGCGCTCTATGTAAGACAGCTCTGGGTCCTCTGTGAGGGTGTCAACGCGGTTCACTCCTATCAGTTCAGAAGGAATGGAACCGGCGTCTGTGCCAAGCCCGGCGGCCAGCGCAGTTCTGCTAGTCGGGTTGCGAAAAGAGAACATGGCCCCGACCAGGGGTGCTTTCAAGGCCTCGTTTAGACGCCTCTGAAGGATTTTGACTTCGCCCTTGCGACCTCCCGAACGAATGCGTCGTTGCTGCTCGGATGGTAACAGATACAAGTCCTCTTGGTCCATCCTGGTGGAAAGAAAAATTGTGACAAAAAAAACAACAGAAACAAAGTGTAGGGATTTTAGCTTGATATTCAGGAGTACTTCGGGAAACAGATGGGGAATTAGAACAATAGTAACTAATGTGTGAAACCTAGAATAAGTTAAGGTGTTGACCATCCTGCAGCAGCGTACGAATTCAGAGCAGACTTGTGGGACAAAAGCAAGGACTAGTATGTGAATTCAAACAACTGCAGAGGGAGAAGTCAACCAGGATACAAGATCACAAGAAGCTTGTATATCTCGAAGATTCAGTGTTTGTGCATATTGAAATCTACTGTTGTGTTGTGAGGAACAACATCTACTGTGCTGTGCCCTAGCATAGGAAAGAAGAAACAGTTCTGTGCCCTGTAATTATGCTCATATGTTCACGTTGACTTTGTTCGATGTTCGTAATTTAAGTGTTCACTTTTATTAAAATTAAAGTAATTGTGTTAATTGGGAGATCTTTATTAAACCTCGGCACGAAAGATCATTACACAAAGGCTCAAAAAGATAAGTCCTTTCCTCCAGAAAAGATAATATTCCTGCAAGCATTACCAAAAAACAATAGTAGATCGTTTTATTCTATCATATTGTTAGATTTGCATTAAAATTGCACAATTCAAATTAACGTTGTGGAAAATTTGCAAGTTTTTGTACGGAAATAATTATCATAACATTGACTAAAGTGTCATCGAGAGGTCAACGCTACTCACTCGTCATCTGAAACATTGAGGCCAGCTTCCTGCAGTTCACTTTGATCTTTGCTGTCCTCATCCTGACGGCGGATCTGGTGCAGCAACTTTTCCAGAGCTGTCGCCAGCTGCACTCGCTCTTGCACCTGCAGTGAGAACACTTTCATATTAATATGGCGTGTAACATGAACTGTCAATTTATATTGTGCTTAAGATAAAGTTATCCTAATCGTAAGACAACATTATGGTAAAAAAACAAGTAAATGAAAGCTTTCAAGTGTTCGAGAAAACGTCTGGTGGAAATGAAGATTTTAGCGAACTATGTAATCGAAGTACAGCATTTAAATCCTACTAGGATAATACATTCTGATTGTAATTGGATATAAGTTCTCTATTATTATATATCAGTGCTCTCAAGAAATCAAGGCACAAACCTGTTCGAGGAGCCCCTCATTGACGGCAAACAAGGGGATATCATTAACGTCAGTTCTTCCCAACGTCTTGCAAATTTGTCTGAAACGCAGCACCTCCTTCGGCTCCACGAACACTAAGCTGAGGCCGCTGTTAGAACCTCGAGCTGTGCGACCACTTCGGTGAACGTATGACTGAAATAGAATAATTTTTTATGATGATCTATAAGGACAGCCAAACCAATTTACTCGAACTTTTTCCACTGAACTAAGTTCCTAAGTAATGTTTGTCAACAAACACAAATCATGAGATATATACCACGACACAGCAATCAAATATTGGGCAGTAGCCATTCAGCCCATAAGGCATATGATAACTCCGTATTGTGTGTATAGTAGTAATATAATACTTGCATCAATTGGTGCCCGACAAAAATGCCATGTTAAATGATTACTCCAATTACCATGAAAAACTAAAATTCATAGTCAGAATAAACTATTTATTGAACGCATTACGTTATGACTGCATTATTGTACGAGAACCGTATAAGCAAATGTTTTAGATCAAAAGCTTTTACTAATGCTTGAGATCACAAAGCTCAATAGTAAGGAGACTTCTACTATTGGTCGCGATCGCATAGTTCAATAGTGAGGAGACTTCTACTATTGTTCGAGATCAAAGAGCTCAATAGTGAAGGCTGCTACTATTGCTCGAGATCACAGAGCTCAATAGTAAAGGCTGCTACTATTGTTCGAGATCAAAGAGCTCAATAGTGAAGGCTGCTACTATTGCTCGAGATCACACAGCTCAATAGTGAAGGCTGCTACTATTGCTCGAGATCACAGAGCTCAATAGTGAAGGCTGCTACTATTGCTCGAGATCACACAGCTCAATAGTGAAGGCTGCTACTATTGCTCGAGATCACAGAGCTCAATAGTGAAGGCTGCTACTAATGCTTGAAATGAAAGACCTCAGTAGTGAGGAGGAACTACGCACCTCGGCAGTGAAGGGGACCTGGTAGTGCACCACATGCTCGACGCCCTTGATGTCGAGGCCGCGGGCAGACACGTCCGTCGTGATGAGGAGGCTCTTGTCGCTGTTGCTGAACTGCTGCAGGTTGCGCAAACGCTGCTTCTGATGCATTGATGCGTGCAGCTCCTGCATGGCAAAGTGTCAAGTCATGTTATTCGTCTTCAGTCAGTCATCTTAGGTACCTTGACCAAACCTCCCTAAAACTCTTAAATTCATAGCCAGAACAAACGTTTTACTGACATGCGTGCAGCTCCAGTACGCATTCGATAATAATAAAATAGTACCAGAAAATTAGTTTCACAAGCTATTCAATTGTTGCAGTCAAAGCGTACTCTCACAGGCGCATATTTAGGTCTATTTTAATTGACACTGCTCTATAATAGCTTGTTACTCATATTTGGAGTGAATGGGAAGAATTATTACATAATATATTGGTCATGAAAAACATGGTAAGTTGTCAAATTCGAAAATCCCTTATCGCTTATGACAAAAATAGCCTGTGCCAAAGGAAATTCGAAGTGATTATACATTAGGGAAGTCATATTGGAAAATTCTTTAACTAGAATTCAATCAATACAACCGATAAGCTTTATGAAAGTCAAAAAAAAAATCAACTATCATAAAGCGTTACTGTTAAGACTTTCACAACAGACAAAATACAGTGCGAAGTTCGACTTTCATAATTGTGCAGCAGCATAATAAGCATTTTTAAATTTTTCTTTTATCGTTTGTTGATTGCTTTAGGTTTGCTATCTCTTATCAAAAGTTTTACATTACAGCCTGAAATTCATTTTGCATTTGAAATTTCGAAGTCGGTTTTTAGTAACAGCAACTGTCCTCAGGGAGTAGCTAGAGTATACCTGGGCGTTGCACTTGAGGAGGGTGAAGAGAGACTTGAGTCTCTTGGTCGCCTCAATGCTGTTGCAAAAGACGATCGTGCGGCCAGGGTGACGAACCAGAAAGTAGAAGAGATACTCGTCTTTCTCTTCCTGTAGCGAACAACAGCAATTAAGGCATAATTAATAAGTTTAATGATAGCTAAAGCCACAGAAACGTCCGATAATTTAAAAAAATTGAAGGAGGATACTTCGCTACTGACCTACAGAATCACTTCACGTCCACTCGAATTCTACAGAAAGCATGTTTTACTCCTTCACCTAACCAGCATACAAATCATACCCCAACAGCCTTGGAATTGGGCATCATCTGCCTTATGAACACTTCCACATAGAGATCCTCACATAAAGATCCATTGCCATCGACAGCCTAAGAACAGAAACAGGCGTTCTTAAAGGACCGTTACCCCAGCGTGAATGGAACCAACACAAAAACCCACAAATGAAAGTTAATCTAGTAAGGTAATAACAGCTGATTAATCACAGTTCACTCACGCGTTCGCAGTTAATTCGGCACTCAGTGAGGTTCTGGGCAGTCGCGTGCTTACGAGTCACGTCCAAGATCTTGGCGGAGGGCTTCATGCCCACCATCTTGGCCAAATGCTGAAGTTTTGCATTGGACTTCTCATCGGGAACTTCCTACAATACGTGACAAATTAGAAACAAAGAGCTGGTGGCCGTCATGAGAATTTTGCGAGGACAGCATCGTACAAAATTGTTTCACATGTAATCAAAACTCCCAACATTTTCAAATCCACAATAGCTTGGCTGCGGATCCACCTCGAAGTGCAAAAAATGAAAGCTCGTTATTCCAGCACTAATCGTACAGCGTCAATAGTATGAATAAGAGTAAAGTTCTGACCTTCTTCTTGGCCTTGTTTTTGAGTAGCTTGCGGTCAGGCAGTTGATGAACGAGCGTCAGGGTTGCAGAGAAGACGAAGGTCTGTCGGTTGGAGCTTGCCTTGTTCTTGGCGGTGCCGTCGCCCAACAACCGCACGATCTTGTGAACTTCCTCAAAATTTTTCTTGTCTATCATGCGGTCAGCTTCATCAATGGCCAAGTATCTAATAACATCAGGGATTAAAAATATTGTTCAATTTCAAATCAAGAGCTAAGTAAAGTAAATAAACAATAATTGAATTTAACTATGATAACGATTTAAATTTAGGAGAAAAAAATGTGATTTAATCATTGTGGTGCTAACTGAGCTTTATGCATCCTGGCAAAGAAATGGATGGTGTGAGATTAATTCCTACGATAATGAGAAATTTTTAAGAAAAAAAAAGGTGTCACAGCAAGGGTTTTCTCATACTTTACAATATCACAGATAAATATGGTCAGTTTGCAGAGGCATTGTTTGGAAAAATACTAATAATAAATCTTAAAGAACCCGCCATTGATTGCCGCCATTGAACCCGCCAAAAATTGTCCAACACTAAACCCAGACCAGGAACTATGTGTACCTGACGCCTCGAAGTTCCTTGAGATGATCCACGCCCTCGTGTATGAGCTCCCACAGCCTGCCAGGCGTGGCAACGACAAGCTCTGGGCGCGTGCGTCTCAAGATCCTTTTCTGCTTGTAGGCGTCGAGGCCGCCCACCAGAACGCACGACGTGACGCCCATACGCTCACATAGAGGTGATAAGTGACGGTTGATCTGGGTAAGGAGTTCAGAGCAATGATCGTTAGACAATGAAGGGCAATGATCAGAAATTCGTTGTATGTGAGAAATTCAGGCGGACAAGAATTTTGCACTTCTTGATCAATAGCAGAGTATAGTGTTACTTGCATAATGGATACACTCAAAATGACATAAAAATTACAAAAAAAGCTGCACGTCAACTTGCAATTTACCCCTTAACATTCTGGTAGATATTTGTTAGTAAACAATTCAATATTAATTTTTCTACACACATATAGCCAATAGCAATATTTCATGTAATGACTATTTTCGAGAAATTTCATTATTCAAGAGAAGTCTGAAATGATGATATTCATATCTGACCTGTACTGCAAGTTCTCTGGTGGGTGTCAGAATGAGTGCCCTCACTAACTTCTCCTCAGACGTCTCCACAAACTTGGGTTTCCGGATTTCTTCAAATGGAAACTTGACATTATTGATTACTCGCACACACTTCAAATCTTCACCATCATCATTCTCGTCATACTCAATGTCAGACTCGTCATCACTGCCGAGGTCGTCACTGCTGGCAGCATCTGAGTTCTGCTCATCCTCATGATCTTCATCATCATCAGACTGCAGTGACTGCTCAGCATCAGAGTTTATTTCCAAGTCATTCCCACTATCAGACTCTCTTTCTTCTTCTGAATTAATCTCTTGTTCATCATCTAAGTCAGAATCATCTGTAGCCTCAGCTTCACTAAGTTCACCTCCCTCTTCATCACTCTCGTTGCCATCTTCATCAGTACTGTTATCATCTTCATCAGTAATGCCATCATCTTCACCAGTATTGCTGTCATCTTCATCAGTAATACCATCATCTTCACCAGTATTGCTGTCATCTTCATCAGTAATGCCATCATCTTCACCAGTATTGCTGTCATCTTCAGAATCATCTGCACTCTTAGTATTTTGTTGATCACAGACCCGTTTCTTAGTATCTTTCCGCCTCTCCTCCAGCTCAGAATAGTCTACATCCAATACCCCATCAGGCCCATTAAACAAGTATTCCTCAACTTCATCACCACTCTCATTGGCGCCCTCAGACTCATCATCAGACTCGTGATTGGTATTTCCAGAATTGAATCCAAGCTCATCTTCCTCGTCACTGTCCATGGCTTGTGCCCGTTTTCGTTTCCTGGCTTGAGTTTCTTCACTGAGTTTGGAGAGAATGTCTTTTTGCCTCTGCTTTTCTTGTCTCCTCAGACGATCGCGATGAACACCAGCTATGATGGGTATCCCAAATGCAAGGGTTTTTCCACTTCCTGTTTCTGCAGCACCAAGGATGTCTTTCCCTCCTCGTATGGCAGGGGGAATGGACAATGCCTGAAACATTCATCAAAAGCTAATTATTGAGGTAGAAAATGATCTTTGGCATGTATATCTTCTACATTTACAGGAGTTTTTCATAAAGGATATTAGGCGTAAAATATATTATGTCTCTGTTTGCCATTGCTTTCACAGATAAGGGATTAAAACTTTTTTAATTAGTGTCATTTGCAAAGAAATTGTACAAAGTTATGCACATCATTATAAGACCAGTCACTAATTCAAGCTTAGCAACCCACCTGAATTTGTGTGGGAGTTGAAAAGCCAAGTTCAGAGATAACATCTAGAAGTGGTTCAGGGATGCCAAGATCATCCCAAGCACTGACATCAACAGGCCTGCCACTTGCTGGGGAGCTTCCAATACTGATGTCATCAATGCCGCTGTCTTTTGTGTCAGGCTTCTTGCCATTTGTAATTGCTGGCTTGTCATAAGTTGATTTAACTACAGGAACTTTTTTTGCTTTCTTTTTCTTCAATGTGACGTCAGATGGATCAAGGAGGGATTCTATTTCATTATCTGCTGATAAATCATGGTGATGTTTATTTGTTAACTTTTTAGTAGTGGTTTTCTTCAATTTCTCAGGAGGTTTAACCAGCTTTATTGACTTCAAGGTTTTATGATTGTGTCCCTGCAAATTAATTAAGAGAAGATCAGGTCAACCATCATAATCAATTACTTGAAATTGTATATACATCATGGCTAGAAGAGTAAATAATTCTAGAATTATATCCAAGGGAGGCATCCAGGTCATAAGTTCTAACAAAAATTATAATAATTCCAAATGGAAATTTTATAAGAAATACGTATAGAGATTCTATATGTGTGGAAATAAATAAAAATTGTGTCATGATTCAGGAGCTGAAAAATACCAAATTAATTAAACGAGTTACTTATTTCACAATACAGCTGCAATATAAAAAAGAATAATTTACCATCATATTTGTTCAAAAACCCTTTAATTAAGCTATCACATACCTGGGATGAAGAGCCTTTCTTCCAGTCCTCAGTGTAGGCAGCACCAGACTCCTCATCCACTCCCAGAACATTGAGCTCATTAACTTCTTCATATAGAGACAGATCTGTGAACTCACGATTGTCTATCTTCACCGGTTTCTGCATAAGCTTGATTGCTTCATTTTTTGTTTTGTGTGCTAATATCTTGGCAGCCAAAAGTTCACTTCTGGTGGATTTTCCTTTGGTCTTTGGTAATGATTTTGCTACTTTGGTTGATTTGCTGGCAACATTACTCCTCTTCTTCTTTTTTATATTTGAGGACTCTTTTCTTTGTTTAACCATGATTATTGCTATATTTTATAGATATTACACAAACCTCAAAATCTGTAGGAAGCAAAATTCAATACATGTACGTACAAAATATTGGTGCAAGTGCAAGATATATTTACCTGTAGTTAGGAAGGTTTATCTGAGATCTTCAATGTTATGCTAGCTCACTAATAAATTAAGTACCTAGTCATGCAATTAAAAAACAAGTTTATAAAAAAGTGAGAAAATGAACTTTGAACAAACTTCAATACCGATTTTTTTGTAAAAAATGCACATTTTCATTTGGTTTAACTTTTATTCCTGTTAATAACAAACATAACTTCCCAGTTTTAGTACTTTTAATTTGTGTTAAATGAGGTATTATTAGTTAAAAGAGATAACATAAGATTGGATATTATAGGCTGGATGTAATTAAAATAGAAATAGCATAATACAATATTATTCATGTATGTACATGTATATATAGGTTATAATGTCACTAGATTGCTTCAATCGCAGATTCACTAGAAATTTAAAAATGAAGAGAACTATTAAAATGCATATGAATAATGACCAGAGAATGCATTATATTCAAATTTCAGGGAATCAAAATTCTTCTGATGACATTAACCGATCAAATGATTTCATTTTACATGCTTGTGGGTATTGGTTAGTAAATAATTCAATAATAATTTTTCCAAACACATAGCCCATAGAATCCAATCCAAATGCTCACAAGACTGTTGAAGATAGAACCCAACAGCATTGTCATCATGCAGTGGCGTCCAATGTTAAACAACTGACAATTGCTAGAGAATATTGGGGGACTGGACTCCAGCTGTCCGTTTACTAACTACCAGAATTGTCTGAACTTTGAGATAGTTTTCAGTCATTTTCCACTTCAAAAAAAAAAAATTTGCATTATGTCCTATTTATAACATGAATTATGTAGATATGTCTACCAAAATATCTTTGTCCAATGCTTTTGAAACTTGAAAATGAATGTTGATTATAGATGATGCATCCAATATGTCATTAAAACATATTATAAGTACTTGCTGAAACCTGCCTTTTGAAGTTTTGATCAATTAACTTCATTGGAAGAATCTCTGATTCCCTGAAAATTGGAATATAATGCATTATCTGGTCATTAGTCATACATGTTTCAATGAGAAAATTCTGCCATCTAATGCTAATACCTATAGGTATATATATACAATTCATATAAATATTTCTACACACATAGCCAATAGCAATACTTCATGTATTGACTATTTTTCAGAAATTTTATTGTTCAAGAGAAGCCTGAAATGATGATATTCATATTTGACCTGTACTGCAAATGCCAAATTGTATGAGAATATATACCTACATACATATACCATCAAATGGGATTTAAGGGACGGGTGGGGTAACAAGGGACAGTCCACCAACATTTTGTAGAAATGTTTTAGCAGCTAAAATAATCAAAATTTTGCAAAACTAAAAATAGTGGCATGAAGTTCAACATTTTTACTATCTATATAGCATAAAGCAGGGTTGGCGATTTTTTTTATTTTTTCATGATTTTTTTGATTTTTTCAACTTTTTTTGTCTTTTTGATGAGTTATTTTTTATGTTGCAATTAGCCTACTAACAATAACAGTATATGGATCATAATGGATGGCTAAAAAGGGCACTTATTGCCTTCAATAATGGCCAACAGGCCAAGGTGGTGTTTACCACTTAGGGATTTTTGGGTAAACAATTATTGGTACTATGATTATTCATTAGCTTTGTAAAGTTTGTATGGAGCAAGGTAATAAGCTAAATATTGACCATTTAACTGGCTTCAATATACTAAAACACTTCAGGAATGCAGATCTTCTAAACATTGAAGAGTCACATAACAGATAGGTAGCTGATAGCACAGTGCACAGCACAGGGGAATAAGGGACACCACCCCCGGGGGAATAAGGGACACCACCTCCGGGGGAATAAGGGACACCACCCCCAGGGGAATAAGGCACACCCCTAATAAATCATTTACAGTAGAACCTTGGTTTGCAAATTCTCCAGTTCACAAAAAATCAATTAACAACAAGAATCTTCATTACCGGTACATATAACTCGCTCAGTGAAAAAATCACAAAATTGTGCATAGAATGTCATAGATAGAATTGAACACTGGTCAGCGAAGAATGAAAAGTAAATAACCTAAACTATGATTTATTTCTCCAAAAAAGATGATGGTTGTCACTAAAATATTCCTTCCTGTTTCAGATGTTTTTTACAGCCTTTTTTGTTATAGTTAAAGCACTTGACTCAATTAAAATTGTGCAAAATTACAAGCTGACAGCTGTCCAACAAGATTACAGATACAGAAGAAATGCTTTACGGATACTGATATGAAGCTTGCAAGTAGACATGGTCGTGGTCAATGCTCAATGGCATGTTGATGGATATGGTAATATCACATCATTAATCCTATAATGTATGGATAAGGTAATATCATGTCAATAAAAAAAACAGTAAAAATCAAGGAAAATGTCATTTATTCTACATTTACATCATCTACAAAGGAAGAGGAGAACTTCAGAGTACTGTTAGTAATGGATGAGTACACACAGCATGTTTCAAATATTTTAAAATCAGGTTTTCTTTTAAGTGTCCGTTATTACCCCATTCCCAAGAAAATTTGGGAGGCTTTTATATTGCGTCCAGCACCATACAAGTAGCATATGGAATTTTTTTGGAGATGAAATGTTTCATGGTAAGAAGTTACTAACAAAAAAAAGCTCAAAACCGTCCCTTATTACCTCGTTTGACTTATTGTTTTGTGTTTCACTTGCACTTCTTCAATTGGCAATATAAAAAGAAAGTTACGGTGATATCAATAATCATGTAGCATTAGTCTCAATGCAGCATAGTATTTGAAATTACTGTCAAACAGAGTACAAGGGACTGTTTTGCGCGTCTTTTGTTAATAACTTCTTACCATGTAATATTTCATAAACAAGTTTGTGCTCATTTTAACCCTTTACTGTCTAATTTTCTGGGTCAAAAATCGCAAATTTCACTTTTCCGGTTTTTAGCCTCACCTTAAAGCTGACATTCTGACTTATCCAATGGTACGAAAATCGTCTCTGTATGTCGATTCATGCATTGATGACAGATCGCAAAAGGGTTAAGGGTAGGGAGTTCTTTCACATTTAAGATAGGCAAAAATAACTGGCCGGGCACATAAATAGACGGACGGAAAACGCTGATCTTCAGTTACCTGGCTGTTGTTGTGTGGGATAGTGAACATGCAGTTGTTCCCACCATCCTTGACTGAATTTCATCTCCAGTAACGTCTAGTCTTGTATCCATGCCACCATGAATGCCTATTTCAAGGCACTTGGGACTTTTTCGCGCTCTACTGAACACTCACACTTATTGTCACTGCAAACCTATCTCCTCCAAGAGGTTTTTAAGCTACAGCAATGAGAGATATACCGTTCAATTAGCAAATAAAAAATCTAGAGATTGGTCATAGTTTTTTTCAATTTTGTTATAGTTTTGAAAATATCTTGAAAAAAGAGGGGGAAATTCAAAAAGGTAGGGGATGAAATCAAAATTTTTTCAAAAAAATACCCACCCCACCCACAAAAATTAGAACTTCAAAAAACAGCAAGGACAAATTGATAGATATGGTCCTTACGCATTGAATGATATGCATCTCGATGATGTAGCTTGAAAATCTTAGTAAGAGATAGATTTCTACAGTAGTACTTTCCTATTAGGCTGTTTTCTAAGAATTTCACATTTTCTTTCATTTTTTTTGGAAAATTCACACGAACAAAAAAGTCTTTGATTTATTTTTTACATATGTGTACCAAGTTTCAAAGTGATCTGTCTGTAAATAACCGAAATAAAATTTCCACAAGAAATTGGAAATTTTATTTTGGTTATTTACAGACAGATAACTTTGAAACTTGATACACATATGTAAAAAAAAACTCTAGACTTTTTTTGTTCATGTGAATTTCTCAAAAAAAAATGAAAGAAAATGTGAAATTCTTAGAAAACCTGTGTTTTTTAAAGGTGACTTGAAAGTCTGATTTGGCGGTAAAGGGTTAAAGCTCTTTGCAAGGGGCCAAGGGCTATCATATGGCATCTCAAAAAAAATTCCATATCATGTTATTTGCAAGGTACCAGATGCAAAATAACAGCGTCCTCAGCCCAAATAACCCTTGGGAATGGGTTAATCCATGAAACTTAAAATAAAATTTAATTCTAAAATGTTTGAAGCATGAGTGTACTCATCCATTACTAACAGTATTTTGAAGTTCTCTTCTTCTTTTGTAGATAATGTAGATGTAGAATAAATGACATTTTCTGTGATTTTTACTAGTTTTTCTTTTATTGATATGAGTTTACCATATCCATACATTACCGTATCATTGATGTGATACCATCATTTCCATGAACATGAGATTGAGCATTTACAATGACCTTGTCCCCTGCAAGCTTCATATCAGCAGCCATATATAGGTAACATTTCTTCTGTATCTGTAGCATGTCTTCTGCAGGGTGGCCCAATGGCTTAACCTTTTACTGCCAAACCGGACTTTCAAGTTGCCTTTAAAAAACCACCAGTTTTCTAATAATTTCACGTTTTCTTTCCTTTTTCAAAAAATTCACATGAACCAAAAAGTCTTGATTTATTTTTTACATATTTGTACCAAGTTTCAAAGTTATCTGTCTGTAAATAACCAAAATAAAATTTCCAATGGCAATTTCCAATTTCTTGTGGAAATTTTATTTTATTTATTTATGAACAGATCATTTTGAAAATTGGTACACATATGTAAAAGATAAATTTAAGACTTTTGTTCATGTGAATTTTTTGAAAAAAGTGAAAGAAAACGTGAAATTCTTAGAAAACCGCCAAAAAGGGGGTACGGTACTGTAGAAATCTATCTCCTCCTATGATTTTCAAGCTACAACATTGAGACGCATATCATTCGATGCGTGAGGACCATATCTATCGATTGCTCCTTGCTGTTTTTTCAAAATTCTAATTTTTGTGGGTAGGGTGGCATTTTTAAAAAAAGTTTTGATTTCTTCTCATACACTTTCAAATTCCCCC